AGTTAACCCTTTCTTTATAAAGGGTCTCCTGCTTAGAGGGATATATACCTAGGGTACCTATAACAGATCACGTGTACGGTAGGTATCTAGTCCCTTGTCACAGAATGACATCCCTAATTGATTGATTGGCAAATGGCGATTGGCGATTGCCCATATAAGTGGTGTTGACAGCAGTGCTCAGTGAGGACCACTTGAGCATTGGTGGATCTTTTGGCGTTCTGGCTCAATTGGTTAGAGCCAGGCGTTAGAAAGTCTATTGGCAGGCGCGTCACTGTCAGCGCCCTGTTACATCCCTGCTATCTGTCTGTCTACTGCTTATAGGCACTTGCTACCTATTGTCTTCTACTAAGAATATATAAAGATAAGAAAAATATAATTATTAAAAGAATAGTTATAAACTTAAAATAAAGTAAGCAACTTACTTTATATACATAATAAGTAATTAATAAACTAAGAAATCTAGTATACTACTACTTAGTTTTAACCTTAGCTACACTACTAGTAGAAACCCTACTATTATATTACTAATAGTAATATATAGGCAGCTTTAGATGCCTTCTTTAAGAGTTAATAAACTAACTAGCATAATCCTATAGGCGAGATATAGAAATATAAGAGACAAGTTCTTCTTTATAAAAACAAGTTATAGTATCTTTTACTGCCTTGTATTTTATAGACCTGTCTTATAACCTTATATAATTATTAGTGTTAGATGTAATACTTATAAGAATGTTTGAGATTAATAAATCTTTTAAAGGTCTATAGTTAATAAATAGTGTTATACTAGGGTGGAATAATCCTTGCTCCAGCTCCGTTTTCTCGCAACATTCTTTTACCAAGCCTCTCCTGGCGGGTTTTAACGGCTGTAGCTCTTGCAGTACGGAGAGTCTCGGGCGAAGGTGGTCGTCGGTAGATCTCTCGTTGTTCCGCCTGTGTTCGTCGCTTAGGTTTATCCTGAAGATCTCTCATGGTAGCGTCACTGATTGTTCTAGGCCTGTCAGGACTACCTGGTGTACTGGGCGGATTTGGCATCTGCTCCTTTGCGAGGCGGTGTGCAGACAGCTGGCTATTTTGTTGCTTTGTATCGCGTAGCCTTATAGCAACCTGGATCTGCATTCTCACTGCCGCCGATATTCGAGGCCTCGAGAAATTATACACGTTGGACCTCACTGACTCCGCTGTTGGCGTTGGACTGATGGGTCGCCGTGTAGGTAAGTATGTGTCCCATATCGGATGATGCCTGTCTGGAGGTCGCTTGCTTAGCCGTAAAGTATGATACGAATCTCTCTGGCTCTCCGTCCTGCAGGCAAGATGCCTGCCTTCATCCACCCCATCACTTGAGATTCGCCTCCGCCGGCGTCCCTCATTCGCCAACACCTCATTGTCTGAACGTAAGCGACTAGCCAGTCCCTCGGAAACAGTTGCCATATATGCAACTGGAGCAACATGCTTTTCCTCGGTTGTTAAGTTGACTCTCTGAGAGATCGACATCGCCATTGCATGCGAGCGTGCTGGTCGATTATCGTCCATTGTTCTGAGATGTTGGCTTAATTCCCGATCGCCATTTGAAGTCAAGGGCCCGCTGCTCATGATTCTGTTCTCCTCCTCCATTGTCATCAAAGGAGTAAGAGGTCTCTGGAAAGAAGCGATAGGAATGACATCGTTAAACGAAGGGGGTGGCACGCCGATTGATGTCCATCTTCGCAAATCATTTTCTGCTTGCTCTTCGAATAGTGATTGACGGCGTGGTGAATACTTCTTGTGTAGGAGTAAATGTGGAAGAATGGCTCCATTTAGGCGTGGTAATGCATCGGTTGAGATGCCAGATGCCGCTTGTCTCATGCTGCCATGGTCTTTCCGAGTGACCCAGTTGTGGATTGGCTCTGTATCTTCTGCTTTAAAAATCGAGCCAGCTCTTGTGGGAGGTCTCCAGGCAAAGGAGCTATGCAAAGAGGGAGAATTTGGCATGCAGCCTCCAGATCGATCGCTGGAGACTGTATACAGCGGAGTTGGCATTGACATGGTTCTTGCATGGCGCCTGAATTATATATTAGTTCAACCTAAGACATCTCTCCTCAATTAGAGCAGAATACTCACACGACTCTTTGCTGAGCGTCTCGGTGGTTTGTTTTTGTTAAAGCTTTGCGCTTCATGGGTTCATGTTTCTCTAGAGATTCGTCCCTTTCATACTGTTTTCCCCTTTTTTCAAAGAAGGATGCGGCTGCTTCAACGGTGCTTGATTCCAAGTCGTTGTTTTCAAAGTACGCTGATGTGTCGCCGTCTCGGATGAACCAAGATTGAGAAAACCCCAAGGTCGCAAAAGGACGGTTCGCCATTTCAATAACAATAAGTACTGCGGTTAAAGAAAAGCTTCAGAAGTGTTAGTTGTGACTGTATGCGTTCCCTGAGTCTTGTCTAATAACATACAAAGAAGCAATGCTGATGATCACATTGAGCCATGGAACGTTATCCTTAACGCCTTTCGAAAGGTCTAGCCCAACATTCACTGCAACGAATATTGCAAGCGTAATTGCTGCAACCCACACAGGAAGGCCCAGCCGTGCTAACAGAAAAGCAAATCCAGCAACATATTTACCGTAGACAGTTGGAGAACCAACACTTTTGATGTATACGATTCTTGCGGCGATAAGATGTGTAAAGACGTAAACGAGACTAACGCATGAGGCGACAAAGAACACGGCTCGGCTGAGAGGATCCAAAACCTCAGCAGATTCGAGGTTGTGAAACAAAACCATAGCAGACAAGGTAATACCAGTTGTAGATGAGAGGAAGAGCAATGTTATCGAGAGAAGTGACAGAGCGGGATAAAGCCCAGCAGCTTTTCGTGGGGCAGTCTGCGGCGAAGACTTTGGCGGCGGCACTGCAGTCGTCGCGTCCCCTTGAACCCGATTCATGGGAATCCAGTTCCATGCACGGCACGAACGCGTATATGTCGATGACGCGCCGTATAACAGCAAGTGGATGCGACTTCCTCAGGAGCCATACACAGTTATGGTCGACGAGTTGGCATGGGTAGGGGCAAGTCGAGGCAAAGCTGCCCAATCCACACTGATAGCATTGGGGCTTATACGAGATGCGGTGTTTGGCGAATTGATTTGGGCAGTGTCGACGAGGAGACGAGAAAGGTTTTGTTTAACACATGTTACATCCTTTGCCTGGACAGTGTTGGAGCCTTTGGGATTGGCATGACGTGTCGCCGATCCAAATTCCAGAACCATTGGCACAATCCGATGCTTGTGAAGTTCCACCTTGCGGTAGTCGAGCTGGCGCATGGATGTTAAGTGAGTATCTTTTTGTATGATCGGTATCTGTCTGATGTCTGGACCAGCATGTGAAACAGATGCGGCGATCGAAGCAGTCCAAGCGCTCAGTCAATCAGCGGCGCTCCGGATAAGACACTTTCGGGTTCTCGGATAAAATGCCACAGCGAACAAGTTATTTGGTTCACAACTCTGCTCACCCGCATCTTTATGAACAGAGCCACCATGCAGAACGAGCTCCTGAGTGTTGGATGAACCTGGCGGTTTTTACTCTGTCAATTCTTTGACCGTTGGAAGCCCTCCAGATGTCAAGCTTTTACTCTTTCGCCTTGACAGAGGTCAATCCTGACGGGGCAAGAGGTTGCAACTTATCGAGCCGCACAGTCGTCAAAGGCGATCTCAGCAACAGAGGTAACAGGCAGTGACCTCACGTAGGTTCGGAACAGACAGGCCGGGCTTGTCCAGAAGTTAACACACAATTCTCCACTCGCCATGGCATTGTTTCAGCAGTGATCCACTTCTGCAACACAGCGCGTGTGTCATCACCGTGGTGTCTCAGCCTGAGATACCCCACTTGTACCAATCATTGAACAGGGCATTTTTCAAGAGGCTCCCTACCTAAGATTTAGAATAGGTGTATGTTCCCTACTTGTAATCTTGTTTTCACAAATTTGAACAGATATTGTGGCCTCTTATCTATATTAATAGCTGTGTAATAAGCTAGCTTGACTAAATGTGTTCGCCCTAAGATCTAGCAATGGTCTTAGCTGAACAACCCGTCATGCAGTTAGGCTGTCATGCCGCAAGTATTATAGGCCCAAGCAAAAACTGGCATTTAATCAGTTAGGACATATTACAACGGCCTTTTGAGACTAGCTGTGGAGATCTTATTTATCTCTTAATAGGTAAAGTACGTAGAAGATGGTCTAATGCTGTTACTCTAAGAAATGGTCCAGCTTGGATGTTAATCTGCGACTAGTAAATCACTGTAGGCTTTCTAACTTTTGCCTCCTTCTACACGCTAGTATTTTGCATCATATTGCTTACCGTTAATTCCCAGGGTGCTAATAAACCAGGCTTAGTAGGCATAACGCAGTTGCTGGTTGGTTAGTCGAAATCACAGTCATCCATTTTCAAAAAAGGAGCACAAAGTGTCATCAAAGTATGTCGAGTTATTCAATTTGCTCGATCGCAATCCAGAATTGAGCTAATCACCAATGCTACTTTCGTGGTTGGGTTAGCAATTACGTACTGTTATTCTAGATTTGGACATTGTGAACAATTGACATCTGTAACTTATCAAGGTTTGGACAGTAAGGAGTGCATTTCCCGACACAGGTTGTTATTCATTGACTGTGCACTATCGAGTAATCATCTTCTTGTGCCGCGTGTATTTGCAGGTTTGCATCAATTGGGCGGCCTGCCTCGGCTCCAGAGCCTGGAATCAAGCCATTTACAGCCTAAGAAGAATTTTCCCCTCGAACAAAGCCGGCTGTCGGTGGCGTCGGGCGGCTAGCGAGCTCTTGAATTCTTACTCATCTGCCAGGGTTTCTAATCGGTGGAACAGGCTCTCCCCACCTTTCCACCAGTTTCAAGCGTTTTCATTTCTCTATTGCACTCTCTCTCTTCTCACCAGCCATATGTTGACCTGATCCATCTGCCCATGCTCTTAAACTCAGGAATCGCATTTGTCACAGTCAATATTCCTCTGGCGCCAATATGATTTCGACCCGTAATGCATTGGCAACTCGCTATGCGAAGCTTGCAAGCCTTGTGGAACGAAGGGCTTCAAACCTCCAAACGTTTGCGACAATGGCTCCTTTGACCTCTGTGGCTCAAAATCATAGGGTCGTTGTCATTGGTGGCGGTAGTGCCGGCTTGGCTATCAGCCATCAATTGCTACGGACAGGCCAATTTTCCCAGGACAGCATCGCTATCGTCGACCCTGCGGCATGGCACCACTACCAGCCTGGATGGACCCTTGTAGGCGGCGGTCTCAAATCGAAACAAGAGTTGCGAAGACCGATGGATGGCTTGATCGACCCCAAGGTCAAGTTTTACCAACAAGCTGTTAGTACCTTCTCCCCGAAAGAGAACAGTGTCAAGTTGGAAAGCGGCGACGAACTCTTTTACGAACAACTTGTCGTCGCTCCGGGTATCAACGTCGACTACGGTAGCATCAAAGGACTACCAGAGGCCTTGGCGAATCCAAACTCTCTTATTTCTTCCATCTACGGCTATGATACCTGCGACAAAGTTTTTGGTACTTTTCAAAAGTTTCAGACAGGCAATGCCATCTTCACCCAGCCAGCAGGCGCCATCAAGTGCGCTGGCGCACCTCAAAAGGTTATGTGGCTTGCATTGCATTACTGGAAGCGTATGGGTTTATATAACCCTAGCAACACTGCAGGTTCGCCGATCAAGATCAGCTTCGCCACGGGAATCCCGGCTATGTTCGGCGTGCCCAAGTACAGCGCCAAGCTGGAAGAACTGAGGAAGGAAAGAGGCGTCGAGGGACTTTTCCAGCACGATCTCGTCGCTGTCGAAGGCAACACGGCGACCTTTGCATGTCCTGAGACGAAAGATACCGTCACCAGAAAGTTCGATCTAATGCACGTTGTTCCCAAAATGGGACCCCACGCATTCGTCAAAAATAGCCCCCTTGCTGACGCAGCCGGTTTTGTTGATGTTGACCCAGCAACAACTCGCCACATCAAGTACCACAATGTCTGGTCATCGGGTGATGCGTCTAGTTTGCCCACCTCAAAAACTGCTGCAGCAATCACTGCGCAGGCGCCAATTTTGGTCAACAACTTGTTACGATCGCTGGACGGAAAGGAACCCGAGGCAAGGTACGATGGCTACACCTCATGCCCACTTACAACCGAGTACGGCAAGGTCTTGCTTGCCGAGTTCAAGTACGGTGGAGTGCCTAAGGAAACATTTGGAGACCTGATCGGTTTTGACCAGGCAGTTCCTCGCCGTACTTTTTACCACCTGAAGAAAGACTTTTTCCCGTGGGTTTACTACAACTCTATGGTGAAGGGTACTTGGGGCGGCCCTAGGGGCTGGATGAACTAGAGTAACTTTGAACTTGTATATTTCCCAAAAGCCAAACCTAGTCGTACTGCCAAAGCCCCTGTTTGCGACACTATCGGCTTGATTTGCCGAGTCTCAACTACACTCGCAACCTCTGCACATTAGTTCTTCGCTTGCATATACAATATATACGAAGCCTGTTTTTGACGCAAGTTGCCTTTTATCAAGTCTTGTTTTCTGTATAATTAGAATTTCTGCAAGTCACCTAACAATCTTGAGGATATAGCGGTAGTGATACTAGCTAAGGTGCTGATACAAGATTAGACGGTAATGATAAGTCTCTTGAGGTTGGAGCGTGTATCAAGGGCCTAGATCCAGGCCTTTTCTTTACTTTTTGGGCGAGTTCACGCCATACTTGACGACTTGGCGGTAGGCATATTACGATGACGGCAACAGAAAGTTCAATGTACGACCACATGTGAAGATAAAACACATCATCTTGTAAGGAAGGTTTCAGCAAAAGTCACTCTAACGTACTTTTCATGAGGTCCGCTACCTAGACCAGAATCACGTAAATGGGCACTCACGAGTTGGATTTAGGGTCAGACGAAATTTGATAGAGACCAGGAGCCGGACAGCGCTTATAATACCGATACTATTTGGAAGTTTATTAGTTTACTTCAACAAGATGACAATGGTTAGAAGATCGGTACGCTATCAATACAGCGTACGAGCCACACTATCTTTGCAAGCAGTTAAAGGCAGTAGCACTTACAAAACTCCAAGTCCGAACATGAACAAAACCTCAAGCTTTTGTCTTTTTCTCAAATTTAGCCACAAAACCTGGGTCATTGGCAAAGCAAGCATCCACAAGTTCATGGCTAAATTCAGAGCTGCGTGTAATATCAGTAAGGGGCGTAAGGTAATGCAACGACCCGAATGTCTTCCATCCCACCCCTCCCAAGAGTAACTAAAAGGTTTGCATTGATTGAGCTTGGTTACTGCAAAAGACACACAGATGATGATGTTCAAGGCCTGAGTGAACCAAAGCACTGTTGTGAAGGTTTGGTTCACTAAGCCGAAAATGCGATGGTAGAAAAAGAGTATAGAGGCTTTGAGAGCACTGATACTTGTGATGTAGAGTACTTCAAAGGCAAAGAAGACCTGTAATTATGAGTTCAGAATGTATAGCGCTTCACCGCATTGCGTATCTGGGACGGAATTTTGGCATCTTACTTGCATGAACAGGTTAACCTCCTCATGGGATAGAGACCAAATGTCTCTACCGATACCAAAGCGATAGCCTAATCAACATAAGCAAAGCAAACCATTGAGCTAGTGTTATTAGGAAATGATACCATGGAACATTGAAACTGCAAATGAAAGCGAGAACACCTATGCAACTAGTTAACAACAAGACAACGGGTAGCCAGGGTCGTTTATCATTTACATATCCAAGTATTAACATAAAGTCATCTGCCCCCCATGTCGAAAACCTCATTGCTTTTGATAGTTGTCGCGAAAAGAAAAGTAGAGCTGTAATAACGAATAGTCCAATCTTATCGAACGTATAACCTGTATGGTTATGATAGCGGAAATCGCACCATGTCCAAGTAACATTCTTGGCAACTTTTGAAGCTGTGTATAAGCCCAACGAACCAAAACTGATGCTATACATGACAGAGTGGGAGTTCTGCTACTGGTCAAGGGTACAAAGAAATTCTTACCCAGTACATTTGCCATATCACAGGAAGCCCGCACGCAAAGTCGGTAGGTTTCAATATAGCTACTATCCTCACACAAACACCCTGAGGTAGCATTGGTCGCGGGACATGTTGAGAGACCGAGCGCCTGTGTCGTGCATGGTGCCTTTGAAGAATTGATACATTAGTAACGGAAAGGTAATGGAAGAAAAGCCTCTTTCCTTACGGCGCATACAGGGAGGCTTCCTGTTAACTGAGGAAGCAGAAACGCCATTGAGGCGTAACCTGTCGATGGCAAGTTGACCGATGACGATAGATAATGACGCGGTCATAATTGATGTCTGTTTGCTCAACGAGGGATTCAAATGGGCATGTTGAGGTTGTGCGTTGTTTACCCGAAATCACAAATGCAGGGAGGGACATTCGCTTTATCTATCATCTGCATGGGTCTAGCCTAACCCGGCAGGTATTTGGTTATACCACATCCGGCTCCGCAGCCACAGACTGCTAACATCATTTTGAGACTAGGCAAGGCAAGCCGAAAGAGAATAGATGGCCCAGACACTATTAGCTAGGATAATTGCTTTCAAGTTTATTATCAAATGGACATTTTGCTGATGCGTTTGCACCAAAGGGCGAACAGTTATGCTTCCTCGAGAATAAGTTTGCAAATACCTAAGATGTTGTAAGCGAACTAAATACAGCCGTAGACTTATCGCAGGAATACCAACTAACAGATTAATCTTTATCCATCAGTTACCTCTTAACAGATGGGGGGGTGAGCATAATGCACGGCTATAAATCAGGTATGGGGCAAATCAACTCTCCAAGGCTCGAGAAAGCCACTAAGAATGCAAAGCAATAATAAGAGACAGGAGACAAACATGCAAGCAGCTAAAGAACTACTGATCTGAGTTAGTGTACTTTGTATTTCTTGAACTAATTTTAAATATAGAGCTAATTGCTGCTTGAAACTTTCGCAAGCGACACACAAGTGTTGAAGAATAACCCTAATCCTTCCTTGGCGAGGTTGAGGGGACAATCCCATGCGCAGAGCCTCGGCCTCGTCGATTGCCAGTCCCGTCCATACATTGTCCTCACTCGTCCTGGCGCCAAACAAGAAGCCGTTCAGGAAATTAAGAGCATCCTCGTAAAGAACGTCGTCCCTGACTCCCTCACATGGATCACCAGCGCCCGCACTGGCCTAGAGGTTCTCTTCCAAGCGAGTATCACCTCCCAGCAGGCCGGCGCTCTCGCGATACTTACTGGTGTGAACTTGGCCTCCAACTTGAACGGTTTCTACAAAACAAGATAATAACAGAATAGCCCGTGCTAGATTGCTCACGTGGTTCTAGACTCGCCTGGCGGCGCTGTTCTCGGAGGGATCAAACCAGGCATCGGCCGCGGACCCGCTCGCCTCATTGAAAATCGCCACCAGAAAACCGGCCAACACCAGCCTCCAAAGACGAGCTTAAGCCTTTCTCTGATCCCAAGGGGGCAAATTTGGTCGATCTACCGGGGTTCGGCTATGGCCCCGAAGCAGGCAAAGGCGTCATGATCTATGTGATTAACAGCGGCGCCACGCCGCCAACACCAAAAACACTGCCCATGCGATCGTCCTCTGACTCATCCAAAGCTCAAAGGCATGCCCCTAAGGGACAAAAAGGAATATATAGGTATGTGGGGGATGCCCGTTCCATGTATAGCCCCAAGGCTTCGCAAATAAAGCCTGATATCTTCAACCGCGGCTCCTGCGTTGCATCAAGGCGGCCGGGCCTGTACATAGCACGGCAAAGAACGCTAACCAGGTAATAGCTAAGATGTCTTAATAATTAACTCTATCAGCCATCTATGCTACTTTTGTAGAAGTCAGAGACAATAGAAAGGTGAAGCTTCTTGGAGGCAAGGCTATAATCAATGGTTTCGTCACATACGCGTCGGGCGAAGGCCCCAGCCCGCAAAACAAGTTGAGCACCTCCTTCTGTAAATTTCTCTCCTTCGGCAAGCTTGTATAAATGAGTACTAACACGCGGGCTCTGACACCTAGCTACGCCAACAGTCGCCGGCGTTATCGCCGTATGGCTCTGCCGGGACCTGTACAAGACCCGGCCTTGCTTCCCGAGCAGGGTTGCGGCCAACGTCAAGGCCATGCTCCTGCAAGCACACGTGTCAAGCCGCGCCAGCGGCCGAGCCACACGCACGCCGCAAGACCGACAATGAACCCAAAAGGACGAGCTGGACTACAGGGCGACCTCGACGACTCTGCCAACCTTTGTAGCGACCACTATCCGGGCGTCGACCTCCACCGAAACACCCACGCCAACCTCAAGCTTTGCGCGCTGTCCCCTGCCAACCCAGACGTCAAAGCCCACCGCAACATCTACTCCGCCCTCAGGTCGTCCACAACGACCTAAAGCAACACGTCCACAACTTCCTAAGCACATATAAACCCTAAAAGACTTTATATAGTAGCTTTCTTATACTTATATACTAATACGAGTAGGAAAGCTCATCGCTAGAGCCTAGAGGCCCCTACTACTTATAACTCTTTACTGAGAGACTTTTTAAAACGAGCCTAGGTGTTACAAGCCTTTAACTAGAATAGTAGAGGTCATAAGGGACAGTAATATAAGGTAGATCTTTATTAGACCTGCTAACTTCTCATTCAAAAGACATTGACGGATCATAATCATTGGTTTCTTTTCTTCTTATTTTTGCCTAATAGTAGCCTTTAAACGTATCTTCATGATCTTCTACTACCCGTGAAACAGCCTTTTTGATTAATGGGCTGTCGTCCTTAGGTCCTAGCACATCAAATGCCAGCCCGTACGTCTTCTCGTTCTGAATCACGGCGTAGATGACCATGGCGACATCTTTCCTAGAAATCATGCCGACAGTGCCAACCTTTCCTGCTCGTGCTTTTCCAGTGCTAGGTCCCTCAGTCAGGCCACCAGGTCTCACAATGGTGTAGTTAAGCTGGCGAGTCTCATTCCCCACCCTCAACTCCGTGTCAGCCGCTAGCTTAGCCTGGAGAATAGGACCGATGATACTCCACATGCGGTCACTGAGCTTCTCATCGGCGTCGGTATACCAGTCCGGAACAGGCTTGCTGTCTCGGTCGCGGACGTCAAGGGCGCTGACGACGATGTAGCGTTTCGCGACCACGTTGGCTTTGGCCAGGGCATCAATGGCGCGAATGGCTCCATCCCGATCAACCGCCTCGGCGGACTTGGGGTCCTTGCCGCCAGCAGCCCACACCACAACGTCTGGCTTAGTGCCCTCGATAATTTTGATGAAGTCGACCAGGGAAGCGGTTGCAATGTCCTGGACAATTGGCTTTGCGCCGATAGCTTCCAAATCTGGAATCTGTTCCCGATTGCGGATAACGCTGAATATGGTGTGCGGGGTATCAGCGTCCCGAAGGATTGTTGTCAATTGGCGGGCGGTTTTTCCGTTGCCCCCAAAGATGAGGGTGGTTGGCATGTGAAGGATTGAAGCGTCGCCCATGTTGAATTGTTGGTTGTACTTATACAAGTAGCATTATTTGATTTGAGATACAAGAGGTGCTTGGGATACTAGGATATATACTAGACGCTAAACGAAGCTCTAAGAGCGACGAACCGTTAGTACTTGAATTAACATTTATGACGTCATAATGCTGACATATATCGGAGCGGAAGAAGTCTAAGACCGCAAGATAGGTTTCAAGTAGCTGCTTTTCTATTACTTTAACCCTTTGGTAACCAAGTACTCAGGGTTAGAATTTCCTAGTAGTATATTAGATATATTACTAGGAAATTCTTCTATAATATATACTATGTAATAGTTAACTTACTTTTAGATAGCTTCTTATTTCTCTTTAGATATCTATAGATGTAAGTTATTTAAATATTGTTAAAGTTATAAAAATGAAGTCACCCCTTGTCTTGAGATGACTTTAATATAATAATATCTATTAGCTACTCTGGTACTTAAATAGATATAAAGACGTTATATCTAAGTGTTTTGCTTCTTAGGACTGTAAACTAGTAAGTAAGATTGTTATAGAGAAAAATTAATTCATCTGCTTGTAGCAAGCCAGGGCAGAACACAACAGATCGCGATCTTAATGGCTTCTTACTATCTGATTGGAGAAGCCTACGTCTCAAGAAGACCTGTTTTCGCCATGACCATGGAACGGCCGATGGGCTAGCTTAGTCACGTGAGCGGACATAGAGCCGAACCAATCAGCATCGTTACAGAGATCAGTCTGCTTCTCAGCACAAGAACTGCCTATTTCGCATTTCCCCCCCTCGCCATCTCTTCCGCACTAATGATCTGGAATAGCCTGCTAGTATGTTGTCAGCTTAATCTTGCTTGTTGATTGACATCTAGGGCAGCTGCATCTTACGACGATGCCAAAGAGGCTGGCTCCGCTGCTGCCAGCGGAAATCGGTAGTGATCGATTTCCTCTCGACACTCGCCGCGAAGATCCTTCAAAGAGAAAACGGGTTGGCACTGATGTTGCTTGTAATCCATGTCGGCGTAGAAAAACACGCGTGAGTCCAATTGGACAATCTTTCTATGCATTTGTTTTCCTTAATTTCTTCGCCAAAGTGCTGTCTTTGCTGATCGTTCAGAGTTTGCCCCCGGCGTAGTGTGATGGAAAACGCCCAATTTGCGCAGCGTGCCGAAAACGATCAACCGAGTGTACATTTGTCGAAAAGAAAGAGTCTCCGAGACTCGGCCAGTCATCCGGAGGTTCTCATGAAGTTCTTGAGCTATTGAAATCCGCCCCAGAGCAACAGGCCTTTGAGATCCTGCGCCTCCTACGGACAAATGGCGACCCTGACTCTGTTCTGAATATTATCAAGAGGGGCCAACATGGAATCAAACGGCTTCCCAATAATGATACAGCCTGCGCTATTCGCTCGATGCAGTCGCCTTTGGAATTTGAGTTAATGGCTAGAAACCCTGCTACTCTTCGCCAAGCTCTCCTCACAACATTAGAACGCGACGAGCTTCTCGGGGCAAGAAAATTGCGTCGATCAAAGTCTTTCGACTATCAGTATGTATGTCCTATCCCGACTACCAGCTTCCCCGCTACATTGCGCGATCATGCTAACCTCTTAAACGGATCACGATCGGAAGAATGGAATGGCCATCAAAAGATACTCACACCTGGCAATGACACTACAATGGAGTCACTGCCCAGTGTTCCCCTTCACGCCAACGATGGGTTTCGCGTAGACGTTCCCCCGGAAGGGATTCTCGATGAAAGCAGGCAATCCGACCCTTTACTCTGCGACGAGAGCTTCGAAGACCTGAGAATCAACTGCTGGACTGACACCTTGATGTTCCATGACTATGCCGCAAGGGCCATTCGGTTCTATCCTACCACCGATAACCCTTTTTTGAGCGTATTTGATCCTTGTCTTTTCATTTCCGGTCTTGTTGGTCAATGCCGCGCACAATCATCTCTGCTTCTCGTCAATGCGTTAATGTACTGGGCCTATGTAGGCCCAGGTTGTTTTATCTGATCAGCCGTATTAGAAGGACTGTACTGATAAGTATGACCGAACGATAGCAAATGCATACTGCTATCAACAAGAGAGCAGTTCAGTTTAGCGAAAACATTATATCAAGAGGCGGAGAAGCTGTGGCTCCTGAGTGGGATAATGCCACTGTACTCAATACCGCTAGTGTCCAACTATTGAGTCTGGCTTATTTGAGCCATGGCAAAGTCCACTACCTGCTGAAATATCTTGCTATTGCACTTAGAATGGGCACAAGCATGTTTTGTTCGGCATCGCGCCATCTCAGGCCCGGAAGGGGATTGAGTGGGTACAGACACAAACACAACTGGCAGATTCGTATACTGCCTCGGGCATTTTCAACTAGGCAGCATTCGAATGGTCCCCTTCATCCCTCATTCATCAGTTTAAGAATATAGCACGTACATCTCTCTAATGCATGCTAGTATAACCACTCTGTTTGATCAACAGCCAGGTCTCGAATATCCTGTCTATTCGCCCGTCTATCCGGCGCCTGTAGAAACAGAGTACGATTTCTGACTATCTGGACAGCTTCCTTTATTTGATTTCGGAAAAGGACATACCTTCCTACATGGGCCATATTTTCCCGACATTGTGCAAGTTCTGGTGTATTATCCATGATGTCGTCTTGGCATATTACAAAAATCGACAAAACCGCCTCCCTGGCCATGATTCTCTTAGCTTTGCTAAAATATAAGTACCATGAGCTTCTTGCTTGAATAGGATGCCTACCTGCTAACCAAGTGTGAAGGATGATTGCCCCCTATTACGTGGTTATCTTCCAGTACAACTCTATATATTAGTTTTAAATGCCCTCCCTTCCCCCTCCCTTTTTGACTAATCTAATCTCAAGTATACGGTTTCATGTAGCTTTTCTTGACATATTCAGGCTTTTCATTCACTCTTCAAGACATAAGTGTCCCTAGTTAAGGACCTTTTCTACGCTCCAAGCCTCCCCTGACGACGCTTTTAATACATCTGTCAGCCAGCTCAAGCACCTTGTTGTCTGTTATAGCTGTAACTACAAGTGATAGGAATACGCCTTTTGTTGTAGTAGATCTATATAATATAAGGCGTTAATTACTGCTTGTAATTAATAGCGTTGTTTTTGTAACAGTTATAAGCCCAGTTTGCTCTAGTGTGCCAGAATAGCGCTAACCCCAAAGTTTAGCGTCAAAGTGTTATGGAGACCCTACAGGTTTAATTCCCACGTAAGCCTACAGACAGGTTGCATTAACTCCACTAGATAAGTCAGGCGGTAACTAAGAAGCGTTATGTCAGGTTCCTGCCCTAGGGACGTTAACCTAGGGGGGCTATAATAGCTTCCCTGTTAACCTAGTGATCATGTAGGCAGACAGATTACATAGATAGATCTCTGTAATCTAGGGGGGTATATTGTAGTAGATCTATATAATATAAGGCGTTAATTGCTGCTTGTAATTAATGGCGTCGTTTTTGTGACACCTTTCTTTTGTAAAGCGCCATAATCTATGTGGTTAATAAGGTCCTGCGTGATACTCTGGATCCTGAATGGCGTTTTTACTTTCTTGCTGGTGTTTATGGGCATAAAAGCTTTCAAAAGTCGTATTGTATTGCCGAAGTAATCACGAAGCGGCTGTCAATAATGACTTTGAGATACGAGGATATGCCCAGCGAGGACGCGTGATTTCTTTTGGAAAATATTATAGAGGCAGATGTGAATCTTGACAAAAAAAGATGTACGGGCTATGTTTGTGGTCTATTTTGACGTCGCAATGACAAACCCGGACGTGGCGGGGGTTGAGAATCTGGCATAGAGGTTCGAGGACATTACGATGTTTCAAGAGCTCGCTAATGTAGATGATGGCGGGATCGATAACTGCTACCAAGTCGGATCTAATGTGACGAACCGCAACGTCTAGCCATTTGAGACTAAAGTAGTTGTCCTATTGAGAATCTATGTATGGACTGGAGAAGTGGTAGAAATACCTATCCCAAGCGGTCCGTGCGAATGGTACGCCACATCTGTGGCGGCTGCCGCTGGTACTAGCCACACGAAGCTATTCCAGCTTCACGACATCTAACAAGACTAGTTACTGGAGTAAGGGCAGCCGCTAATGATATTCAAGATTAATAACCGAACAGATGACCATGGGGACTTGGTTAAATATGTCGGAGAACATCAAGCATGAAATTTGCTAAGCCATCTGATAATGGTTACCAGCTTATCATAAGATGATGAGTATAAATATAGCGTATCCTTCTTCTTATTTTTAGGCCCGACCACTGCTCTTTAGCTTATTACATTGCCTTGGGAACTTTCTAATTTGTCGAAATGTGAAATATGACCACATTTCCTAAGCATATACTATATATAGTCACACGTAAAGGTCGAGGTAAGTCTGACTATGTCATGATTTACTAAGCCGTGCTAATACACAAACAGCTGGACACTATGCGAACATTATTGTACGCAGCCCAGAAATTGACGACATCTATACACTAGAAAAATATGAAAAGAGGGCCCACTGAGAATATCGAAACTCTATGAACTATAACACCGGTATAATACTTAACTCCCCCACCCCACATCCGAGACACCCCCACTTCCGAGACATCCGAAAATCCCGCATTTCTCCTCCTTCATCAACATCACCACCTTTTTTAAACTATCATAACATTTCACATATATAACCAAACAACGCCATTTTTTCAAGATACCTTCTTTAACCCATCATGAAGCAATATACCAAAGATGAGCTTTATCAGGCCCTTCTAGATATGTAAAATGGGTATAGCATCTAGGCTGCTGCTTCTAAATAGGGTATACTATACTAGTCACTTTATTATTGATACTATAGGCGGTAAAGTAGGGATACTGCCTTTACCTATATATAACACTTATCCTAGGCCTAAGAGGATAATCTGGCTGCCTATATATCCCTCTAAGCTTCCCTTGGCAGGCAGATCACCTATTAACAAGTGAAGGGCCTG